GCTCTGGAAAAAAAAGAAGACTCCACTGCACTGAACCCATTGAAAACCTTCTGGTTATTCCACCAAATATTGATTTCTGAATTCATCCTGAGTTAACACATCAGTATTGTTGTTCCTAATGAATATCAATTTGTTTTCTTTGCATTACTTGAGTTCTGAATCGCTGCATCTTTTTCATGATTTTGACCATTTCTCATTTTCTGCAAATAAATAGTTTTAGAGACATGTTGTCAGTCGTTCATAAAATAAAAGAACAAAGTTCATTTTTGCTCAAACATATACAAGAAGTAAATCAGAGAAACTGATCATTTTAAGTGGTCTCTTCATTTTTTCCAGACCTGCATGTGCCAGTTAACGATTAATCGACTGCTAAATTGACGATTATTTCAACAGCTGATCATTACAGTTAATCATTTCAGCCCTAATCGCCGCTAAACATGACATCAGCTTTGAAAACCGTCACGCTAACGTCTCGGCTCTGCTCGTAGTGTTCGGTGAAGAACTGCACCATCCCCTTCCACGTGACCTGCGCCTTCGAGCACAGCCTGGAGATGAAGACCATCCTGGACGAGGGCGACGAAGTCAAGTTCAAGTCCTTCTGCCTGAAGCACAGCAAGCCCGGCGACGCCGGCCTCAGCCCGGGCCGCTCCAAAGCGCCCAGCGAGGCGGCCAAGGTGGGCCAGCGCGCGCAGAGGCTGCAGGAGCTGGAGGAGGAGTTCTACACGCTCATCCATCTGGGCCAGCTGGCGCAGGAGCTGGGGCTCTCCGAGCGCCCGCTGGACTTCATCTACCAGTACTGGAAGCTGAAGAGGAAGTCCAGCTTCAACAAGCCTCTGCTGCCCCCTAAGGAGGAGGAGGAGAACCTGGTGCTGCAGCCGCAGGAGGACAGCATTCACACGCGCATGCGCATGTTCATGCATTTGCGACAGGATTTGGAGCGGGTGGGTGCTTTTGGTTCCTTTTTGTTTTTTTTCTTCTTCTTCACTTCCATTTTTACTGCAGTGAAGCAGTACATAATGCTGAGTCGGTGTATTTTTAGCCTCTGGAGCAAAAAGAAACAATTCCCTCTGCCTAGTAGTGGTTTTAGTCACTTCTCTATAAAACAGACAGTCTAGGAGACTCTAATGTTGTGACATTTTACCGCAACGTGACATGATTTTTATTCAACATATCTTTGGGGTTTTGTTGCTCGTTTTGAGCCACATGCATAACAAAACACAGCAGAACAGATCTGCATATTAGACATAATTGACGTTGTTTTCCAGCTAGAGAATAACTCTGCATCCAGTTCTCTTTCTGCTGTTCAATGGTCTTCATGTTGGCTTCCATTCGCTCCTGTCTGCAGGTGAGGAATCTGTGCTACATGGTGAGTCGGCGGGAGAAGCTGAAGCTGCTGCAGAGTAAAGCTCAGGAGCAAATGTTCAACCTGCATGTCAAGCTTCTCAGCCAGGACGTGTCCTCCGGTGAGAACAAGAGGCGTTTCTTTATTTCTACAGTGTTGATACATGTCCTGTCGTTTCTGGGCTGAATTCCAGTCTCGTTTGTGGTTTCTGTGTATTTATGATCAGTAACTAACATTTTGCATCGGTAACAATTTTTTTTTTTTGTTGTTGTAATTATTATTGAGATGGTTTCTAAATGTTATGATGCTGTCTTCTTTGGAGGAGGGTCCTCAGGGTTCCTCAGCTGTCTGGAAAATAAGGAAATTTAATTTCAGTATTTTTTTAGAGCCATATAAGATGAGAAATTGAAGATTTTGGAAAAACTTTAGTATTTCCAGATTTTATTCTTTCATTGTATTGTTTATATATTGTGTATTTACTTCCATCCTTTTGTTTTTCTGTATTTCCTAGATTTTCTTTTCTGGTATCATATTTACTAAATATCTTTTCTTTCCTTATGTTTGACCCCAATTAATTTTTCTTTCATCCTTTGTTTTTTTTTATTTTTTATGTATTGGTAGAAAAATTTTGGCCAATATTAACATTGCTATTATGACTAATACCTGACATTTTCTGATGTAATACATATTTAAAGGAAGGTTTATTTTTAAAAATGCATCTTAAACCGAACCTTTATTTCGGTTTAAGATGCATGAACCTATATTTTGAAAATTAAATCTGGAAAAAATTGCAATTTTAACACGAAGGGAAAAAAACCTAGGGCCTTATTCTAGGGCATTATTTCAGCTCAAATGTTCAAAATTTGCTAACATTTCCTTCAGTATCATTTTTCATGACAGCATAAATATTTCAGTAAAACTTTTCAACCAGTTTTACTGAAATACCTTCATCCTGAGAATCTCTGAAGGAACTCCCGACATCGCTCCGTCAGAAACACTGCTCCCTTATGCTGTCGCCCAACTTGTTGGGTCGGGTTTCACATCGTCTCGTTTGCCTTCCCAGTCTGAACCATGTTTTCCTGTTTTACCCCCTGCAGATTTTCCTGTTTCTCTCCCGGTGGAGAACACGCTGTTCCGGCCTCCTCCGAGGATCACCCTGAAACTGAAAATGCCCAAAGGTTCCGGTCTGGGAAACGGAAACCGCAGCTCCAAGCTGGGCAACGGGCCGCTGTGCCCGGACAACAGCGGAAACGTCAATGAACACGCCGCGGAGGGGCTCGGCCAGGGCAAGCCGCAGCTGCACGCCCGCAAAGATGACCGACCCAACGGTCGCCTGTTGTCCTCCGGCGGCGGGCCGCTGGCCGGCAAGCCTGCCGGCAAACATTTGGCCTTGCACATCGTGCACCACGCTCACTCTTCCAACAGCAACGGCAAACTGGACCAGGACCGAGCGTGCGCGGTGAAGTGCAACGGCATCCTGGACAAGGCGGCGGCTCAGAAGGACGGCGCCTGCCAGACGCAAGGCACCCGGGACGTTTCCAAGGAGGACCTGGACAAAAGCAGCTTCTGCAAGTCTGCCATGGAGCGTTTCGGCAGATCCTTCAAGGAAGCCACCATCAACTTGGTACGGACGACGGAGGACCTGCGGGTCTCGGACAAACTGTCCCGAAAGAGCACCGGCAAGGAGAAACACTGGGCCAAACCCATACTAGAACACAAAGCCAAAAACAGACGGCCGCACCAGGACAGCGACGGGTACTGCCCCGACCTGGAGCTGAGCGACTCCGAACCTGAGGCCAAAGGTCGGCTCGGTCAGCAAGTGGGGCTGCCGCAGCCAAACGCCCAGCGGAAGGGGAAGCACTCGGCAGGGTCCAGACACTCAGTGACAAGGTGACGCCGTCGTCGGACGCTTCCAGCTCCTCTCATCAGGGACCAAACCACGGCGTCGACGGTGCTGCCACACAGGATGCAGCGTGTCGGGTTCAGGGCCATACATGCAGTTTGAAACGGTTGATAACTCATCTGAGAGATTTCTACAACCAACTGCAAACTTTTTTAGTTTTACTTTTTTTACATTTGTCCAGTAGGGTTTTATTTTTATGCTTCTGTTTTCCACATCAGCTGCCTTGTCTGAAAACCAATGCTCCACACTCCATTGGGTTATAGTTCGTTTCCGTTGAGTAAACACTACACGTGTCTCAAAATGGGACGAGACACGTCTTTTATTTTACGTCATGCCAACATCACAAGAATCCTTCAATAATGAAAGTGGTGGCAGCGGTTAGACCGCCTCGATTCCTGGGGTCAGTCGGTCACGTGACAACCTTCGTGGTCAGAGTTGAAATGTGAAAACGAGCTGTGAAACGACCATCTTTGCTGTTCTATGTCCTCCTGTTTCAGTAATAAACGTGGCATAAGTGCTTCAAACCTGCTGGGTTGTTTTCTTTTCATAAAAGCCAAATCTAAAGTTTTTACTGATTAAAATAAAAATAAAAAACGCATTTGAAAAACATACCCCACTCAGAAGCATGGACAAACTGAGTGGATACCAATACTCAACCTGGTCAGTGATTCGTTTCAGATTCCTGAATCGATCACTAGAGGGCAGCGTTGTCAAAGCTAAAGATTTAAACCACAGATTCATGGTTTTCTGATCTGCCTGGAAGATGTAGTTTGAATATGAGCTGCAGGAACAAGAGAAAATGAACTGGTTACCTTTTGTCTCAAGCAAAGATGGAACCAGAACACTTTGGACACCAAACCCAGAGGGATTTTAGTCACAATGTTGCCATTTTACCATCTGATGGTCTCGTTGGTGCTGCTTCAGGGTTTATTGATCTGCTGAAGAAACTCAGGGAGATCTGAGCAAACGAAATACAACAGAAACTTGGATAAAAAGCTATACAGGTGCTGAATTGGTTTGTTCTTCTTGATGTGTCTCTAGAGGAAATACTTTATGAATGTTTGTGCTTTAATACTGACTGCTACAGGAGACGTTTAAAGCTAACCCTAACTCTGAAGAATCCTGAGTCATTTGAGTTGAATTTAGGCAAAGTTATTGTGGAAGGTCCAAAGAGTGACTCGGGGAGCTCGCAGACGTCTGCGGGCCCAGACCTGGTTCTGCTCAAAAGGTCCGGCATCTTTACAAGTCTGGTTAAAAAGAAAAAAAAGTTGTTTTTTTAAATAAAAATTCTAATCATTCACTCCATCCTTTTCAAAGTATCATTTTGTCGCCGTCACTCTGACCTCTGACCTCTTGAGTTTGGAACGTGGCGTAACTGAGAGCCACTCCCCATCACCTGCTCTCACCTGGCGCTCTCCAGCTCCACTGTCTTGAAGAGGAAGCAGCTCCTGTAGTGTGTGTGTGTGTGTGTGTGGTATGTGTGGCTCCCCTGCAGAGACGCAGGCCATTTAAATCTGAGGGCTCCTTTAAGAGAACTGCCTCTCCGTATCTGCTGATCCGTCCGCCGGCTGCATCATCCTGCTGCTGCTGCAACTCCCGGCGGGACAACAGCGCCGTCCGTCCCGTGCACCTGAGGAGGGGAAGGAGGAGGAGGAAGTCATGCTAAACTATCGGTAATAGATTATGGAGATCTTTTTTTTTTTAAAGCGCCCTCAATGTAAAAAAAAAAAAAAAGTGTGCTGATGGGGGGGAAAAACCCGAAGCGGCAGATTATTCTGTTTTTTTTTCTTCTTCTCGGACGCGCTGTGAAATGACGGCCGCGCAGATAGCGGCTCTGTTTCCGGGCTCCGCTGCTGTCGTCGGCCCGTCCGCTGCTCACAGCCGCGATTTGAACAAGTGAGTGCGCGAGGCGAGCCGGGCTCCCGTTTCCGGAGCACGCGCCGCACAAGTTTCCGCCTCATTAAAGTCTCGTCCTGACCCCCAGCTCCGACACAGGAAATGGGGAGATGCGTTTCCTTCCACGGCGCTCCTGTTTGTTGTTTGTTTCTCAGGGAGAGTGAGCGACGGAGCGCAGCATGTCCGGATGCAGCGAGCTGAGCCTGAGGGAGCTGCCCATGGAGAGCTGGATGTCTCACCTGCCATGCGCCCTGTGGGACACCCCGCTGTACCACCTGGCCATTCCGGGTAGGCTCATGAACAGGAAGCCCCCTCTTCCTCCGCAGTGCTGATGATGCTGTGTTAAAGGGGCAGTATGATGTGTTTACCATTGTGTGTCACAATCATGAAACTATGTTAAGAAGAAGCTACACGTGTTAAACATGACTTAGAATGAACGCCTTGAAATCGGTGCCTCTGTCTCTTTAAGAAGCACCCGCTCTTCCTGAAACTCCGCCTTCAGGAAGTCATTACAACACGGCTCCTCTGTTAATCTTCGACAGCGAAGTAGCTCCTTTTATGAGCTCCGCAGATGAACAATCCCACCGTGTTAGCTAGCTGCCAGTAGCAGTTAGCTGAATGGTTGCCATGGAGACTAAGAGATTTCTCAAGCACGCATGAAAGAGTCACGGCAACGCTCCAGATGTGTTTTTGATGAGAGAATAAGTTTATGACACGACGAAGAGCTAAAAAAAAATAAAAAAGTCTATTCTACATGATACTGCCCCTTTAAGAACATTGGCTTGGCTCCATCATCTAAATGCTTAGTGAGACAAACCAGAAGGTTGAGACTTAGTCTTCGCAGCGCTCTGTTCACGAACCAAATGCCAGTGTGTCCCCGCCACAACCGACCAAAGCATTTCTCCGTTTTCTCACTCAGGCAGCCACAACGCCATAACGTACTGCCTGGACATGAACGACAGGTCCCCCGTGGACCCCATGCAGCCGGACATGCTCCAGAAGCTGGACAAATACATGAAGCCCCTCATTCGCCCTTTTGTGTACAAGTGGGCGATAACGCAGGTAAGAAGGCCGAGATGCGGCACGCCGCGGAAGAGACGCGCAACACCTCTAGCACCGAGAATCCTGTGTGTGTTTTCAGGAGTTCACCATAAAGCAGCAGCTGGACTGCGGGGTTAGATACTGCGACCTGAGAATCGCTCACAGACCCAACGACCACTCCTCGGACCTGTACTTCTACCACGGCGTTTACACCACGCTCACCGTCGAGGTAACCTCAAGAGGCACACAGGGTCCAGTAGTTCTGGTACAAAAACGCCCCCCGGGTCGTAAACCACCGCCAGCGAGCCGAGGCTTGCTGAGTTTGCCCTAAAAACCCAAAGATAAGGGAAGTGAAGAGCCTCTTAGCGCCACATCAGCCTGGTCCTGCAAGCTCCTCCGCCTGCAGGCTGGATTTATTGATACCCAACAGCTGAATGTTCCGCCGAGGAAGCCTGCAGTACATTACTGTATTCACAGAGTTGCAGTTTTTATCTGAAGGTTTTTCTGTTTTATCTCTTTTATTTTACTACTATTTTTCAGAGTTTTGTGGCTCTAGTGACCTGTATTCATTAGAGACTGGATAGAGAGAGAGAGAGAGAGAATGGGAAGACCCGCAGCAAACAGCCGAAGGGCGGGAGTTAAAACGGGAAATTAGTCCACAGCATAAAGCACAACTTCAGACACCAAACATTTGACTCGTGAATCTACTGTAGGACGAAGAAATCCCAATAGTGACTTTTTAACAATCTCCACTCGTCCTTAAAACGTCTTTAATTCACACATCTAACAATGTAAAAAAAAAAAAAACATGAATTCATTTAAAAATGTAAGTCAGCTTTCAATACAATAATCATGTGTCAGGAATATTCAATATATTTGAGCAATTTTTTAATTTTCTTGCCGGACTTTCCTGTCACGCTAACGTTAGAAGCTAACTGCTAACTACACGCTTAAACCTTTGCTAACTCGCTAGTTTGCTTTTTGGCTGGATATTTGTCTTTGCCATCGGCTCCCTTCTGTTGCCAAACCATCTTTTTGAAAGAAAAATTTACATTTATTTTTTTTGTACTGTCTTTTTAAATATATGACTATAGTATTACTACATTGACTACATCACAGTGATCTTATTGTACTAAAATGTATTGGAAAAATAAACCCTGTCTCCAGTTTTCCAGTGTTGACCTTGAACTCCTTCTGCTGGTCTCTGGCTGAGAAAGCATTCCCACAGCATGATACGACCAGTACCGAGCTTTCGCAGAAAAGTGTTCCCCCCTTTAAATGATGTCCTCTCATTGACAGATCGTCCTCACGGAGATAAAGGAATGGCTGGACGCTCATCCCAAAGAGGTGGTGATTCTGTCCTTCAGCCACTTCCTCGGTCTGAACCCGGAGCTCCACGTCCGGCTGCTCACCAACATTCGCGACACATTCGCCTCCAAACTCTGCCCCAAAACGGTACAGTTAACCTTCATGCTTTGGGGGTTTTTTTTCCCTGAAACCTCAATACTCTATCAGTGTTTTGTGTTTTGATAACTTGCCTACAAAATTCAAAGCGCCGTTCCTTCACAGTTACTTGATGAGAACTTCTCCGTTTCAGGAGGCGCTAACTCTTCGAAATCTGTGGGCTTTGGGCTACCAGGTGATTGTGTCCTACGAACACAGCATTTCCAGCTCCCACGGCGACCTGTGGCCTCACATTCCCTACTGGTGGGCCAACAAGTGCAAAGCCGAGGCGCTCATCGAGGAGTTTGAGGCGCGGAAGCAACACGGTAGACCAGGTAACGTTATGTTGTTATGCCTGCAAGAGTGAAAACGTGTGTAAAGCGATAGAAAGATGGACTTTTTTTGCAGAAACTCAATGCGAACGATGTCAGCTTAGGGTTTTTGCTCAAAGTATTTGAAAACATTAAAGGAGTAGAATTATGTAAAATTTACTTTTTTGAAGTTTCTAAGCTTTCTAGTTCCCACCTCACAGAGTAGCCCTCCCTCATAAATCTCCCGCTCAGCTCCTTCAGACTAGCCAGCTGCAATTAGCAAACACATGGTGGAACTGAGCATCTGCTGAGCTCATTACACGAGCTGCTTCTCAGTGAGGAGGGTTAAAGGGTTAATAGAGGAGCCATGCTGTGTTGGCTTCTTGAAGGCGGAGTTTCAGAAAGAGCAGGAGCTTCTTAAAGAGACAGAGGCCCAATTTCATGGTGCTTCACGGCATCCGCACAGCAAGTGCTTAATGCAGGTTGTTTTTTCCTGTTCCAGGCGGTTTCTTTGTCACTGGGATCAATCTGACGGAGGACCTGAAGTACATCTGCACCCACCCCACCGAGTCCCTGAAGGACCTGGTGATGTCCACGTACCCGGCGCTGCTCGGCTGGGTCAGGGAGCAGACGCCCGGCCCCAGAGCGGGCTCCCTCAACATCATCGCCGGGGACTTCATCACAGAGAGCCACTTCGCACCCACCGTCGTCACGCTGAACGAGAAGCTGCTGAAGTGGAACTCGTGACTTCTCGTTCTGCAAAAGCGCCGAGCGTCTGCAGAGGCAGATCAGACATCAGAGCATGAAAAATCGCCGCACAAGTTTGTTTTGATCGGATTGATGAAAACATTTATTCTTTTTACCTCGTGAATTATTTATTTGACTGTGAATGCACTTACGGGGCTGCAGCGGTGTGCACATTTCAGTTCAAGCAGACTGTGTTTTGTTTTGTTTTTTTTCTATGCGCCGACCCGAGCTGCTTTGTTTACATTCGGTTCGCGCTTTATGCAACGCGCCGTATCGGTTTTCACAAGTCAGCACCGAGTTTGACGACTTGCTGACTGAAGCAATAACGGCACAGCTGAACTCCCCCCACCGCAGGAAGCACAAGCTCTGCTGTCACCGAGGACTCGGAGAGGCAACAGGAACGTTTTTGAGGACTTATGCCGGTGAAAGCTTCGACACATCGCATCACGGAATGTGGAAACTATTTATGCAAGTGTATGCAAGAATGCATGAAGAGGATTTCTTTGCATGAGCCCTGCACTGATTGTTCTGTTTTTAAAAAGTAGCTTTTCGCCTCCAGCTGAGGTGTGAGAAGTGAACGCTGCACCGCCGTGCCTGTGGAGACGAGCTGCTCAAACATCAATAATCCCGAAGGAAACATTCAGGTCTGGAATAAGTGAGGGGTAAATAACAGAGAGATATTCGTTATTGAACTGTTGGAGAACAAATTGTTCATGTTACAATCCATGAAGTTTATTTATGTCTCATAATTTGATTTTGATTAACATGCATCATTTCTGTCCTCGTGGTTATATAGGTTGTTGCTTATTTTCCAACAGTTGTCATCTCAAGGCACTTATGTAAGACGAACACCCACTTTATATTCAGAAATGTATAATTAAAGCAGGTGAAAAGTGATCCGCGTAAGGAAACGTCCTGAGCAGGCATGTGGCACCGGTGGGAAGGAAGAGCTGATTTTTAACAGGCTAGGTCCTCAACTAGAACAAGATGGATATTTTTATTTTATTCTATTATTCTATCAGTTTTAACTTGTCCTCACACAAGTCAAAGAAGAGAGAGGATTAAAAAAATACAAGACAAAACTAGTACAGAACAATATTTACATTTCCATCAATGGCAAGAACACAAAGTGGAGACAGAAAAAAGTGTAGTTGAAAGGACAAGATTATTACATGTGTGGTGGAAAATGACAATAAGGTCACATCTGCTAGTCGTATTGTTATATGTTTATTCCCACCAAGATAAAGCTATTTGTGTTACATGTACAAGGTTGAAAGTCGTTCCCCAGAGCTTTAAGGGAACCTGACCGTTTCCATGCTGTGGATCCTTTATCTGTGTATTAAATTTATGTGTCGTCTCTGCCTGGCAGAGCGCTTCATCCAGTACTTGCTTGATTATTGATTGTCTTCTGAGCTCTCTGAGTTGTGCACAATTTATGAATAAACTTGATTGAGTGATTTTACCTGAACAGTGCTTGGAAATAGTGTTGTTTTCTTTGTTTTTTTTTCCCATGACAAACCTTATTGAATTTAAGATCACAAATTTAAAAAGTACTAATAATTACAGAAAGAAAGAAAAAAACAGTTACGGGGGCAGGTCACAAAAATGAATTTATAGAGTCGTAAGTTGTTGAAATACATCTTGAGGCTGTTTTGGTAATCTTTAAACAAGAAAGTGTAAGTTCTGCCTCAGCATCACACCTTAACAAAAATAACTGAAATCTTCTGATGAATTTTGGGTTTGGTGAGCTGAACCAAGCAAAGCTGACAGTTTTATCTCTTGCAAGAGTTTAGTGGCGGCGCCCCTGCAGCGACGACACAGAATCCTGGGGTCACCCAGGTGAGAATGATTTTCTAAACGGCACTTTGCAAAAACAACAGTTCCACTGTACAGAGAGTATGTTTTTTGACTCATGTAAATATGTACATATGATTATTTTGACTTCAGATTACATAATTTACACATTAAGCAGTACATAGTAAACCCAACAGAATGAACCTAGGCAAATAAGGTGATGAACAAAGACATCTATATATACACTGCTCAAAAAAAATAAAGGGAAACACCCAAATAACACATCCTAGATCTGAATGAATGAAATAAATATGAAAATAATTTCCAACTGTTGTCGATTTCATTTGCACAACAGCAGGTGACATTGATTGTCAATCAGTGTTGCTTTCTAAGTGGACAGTTTGATTTCACAGAAGTTTGATTTACTTGGAGTTATATTGTGTTGTTTGAGTGTTCCCTTTAATTTTTATGTAATGCAAATACAAATTGCAAACGTGACAAAAAGTTAGATTCATATAAAATATTTGTACATATTACATTAAAATACGTTAGGATGACCTAAACGATAGGATGATAATTAATTTAATCCTCGGATCACCAAGTATTTATACTGTAATGTTGTACAGAAATAATGTGACGTAATTATCGCATTTTCCCTCTGGATGCTCAGTGGAAAAATGGCCGAACCGCCTGCGAACCCAGTTCCAGCTGCTGCATTTCAACTGTTTTGAAAGTGCGCCCTCTAGTGGCGCTCCTGGTTTTCACCCCCCTGCATCCGTCAGTAAAAGCCAGGAAACTGCGAGTTTCTCCTCCCTCCTCCTGCCTCGCGCTGTGGCCGCTGCTGTTTGCGGTCGATGGCTTTGAGAAACCAGGTGGAGGGAAGCAGATGAACCATGTGACCCGCGGTAAACGCAGCTCGGACGCCTCGACATGGACGTCAACAACCAGGACTGGATGTCCGCCCTGCCGGAGGAGCTGTGGGACGTTCCGCTGACCGAGCTGGCGATACCTGGTGGGTCCAGCTTTCACACAGCTTCGTGAGGGAATGGAGTCCTTCTGCTCCACGACTGAACATAAAATATCCCTTCTTTAACTTTTCAATTGAATTGCTGGTGCTGTTTTATACGTATTTTTATCTTGAAAGGGATGTTACTGGGTTAAAAGTCGGCCATTTATTTGAAGTTTGCTAACTTTATGGAGTATAAAAGGCACACACACCCTTCAAATGTATTATTTTAGTTGTATGTTGATTAGTTGTTCCATTGTTTTTCTTTTGTTCTGATGTTAATATGCATTTAGCAACGATAACATTTGCTCTCCCAAAAACTGGTTTCCACACACCTTCTGTGACCAGATGACGTCACAAGGCTTTTGGCATCTGATTGGCTTTCCTCCCAGAATGTCTTTGTGTTTCTCCATCCTGGTTTTGCTCCTTATTTGCATGTTGTTGTCTGCGGTACAAAAGCCTCTTGTAGTCGGTGAGGCAAAAATGTTCGTTTTCGTCGAACTTGTTTTTCAGGAAACTTTGTCATCTCGCCGAAGGGCAGACTGGCATGGCCAACATTCTTCAGTGTTCATAAAGATATACATCGCAACCAATTAAATCTAGTGATTCCCACAGGCATATGACCAAATACATGCCAAAGTTCTTTACTGCCATCGCGCCGTTGATTTGGGAATGAATCGGAGTCAAACTCTGACCCACTGGGTCGACTCTCTCAATTCTTCCTAAATCTGTGTTGAATCGGATCAGAAGTCACACCCCTGCGTGACTGTTATGCCTCTCGTGATGTCATCGACTTAAACTCATATCCGCATTTTCTTCTTTTTGTGCTTTTGTACATTTATTTTGTGAAATCCTGCTATGGACATTCATACTCTGGTACCCAACTGTTCATCCACTGCTCCATAAAGATTAACAGAAAGAAAAAGAAAATGTAAGGGTCATTTTATTGAGAGAGTGGTGCTCTAAAAAAATATCATTTGCACAAAAAAAAATCAAAAGTGAAGAACATGAACTCTTATAGCAACAATAACTTCAAGTTAGACTAAAAATAACACAGATCCTGCTGCTACAGGTTGAGGTGACGTCATTTTACAAACCCGTTTCTCAAAAGTTGCGTTGGTGTCTCCGTTCACAACAGGCAGCCATGACGCCATGAGTTACTGTCTGGACATAACTTCGCCCCTGCTCAGGTCCGAGTCGGACTTCTTCTGGCTCCTGGACGGACTTTTCTCCTGCATCACCAGGCCTCTCATCTTTAAGTGGGCCACCACCCAGGTAGGAAGACGCGTGGGGTAACGAGAACGGCCCGTCAACGTGTTCAGAGTTCATCGTTACGAGAGGACATCTCGGTTTTCATGTTCTCCTTTTCCCAGATCAAGTGTTCCCCTCAGTAACTCTGTTGTTTTCTCATGAATCCGTCCAAATGTGGATTCTCTGAGATGTTGGTTGGGTAGATGAGACGCTTGGCTCAGTTTTGGTTCTGGTTGGACAGGAACATCAGGTTCTCCAGGCAGAGGGACTGTTACAGTAAAGGGACTGACTGTGAATGCCATGTGGCTGTTTTCATGTTTCCTGGCAATGGGAGCCATGGCTCCACCTGCTTGGTACATCCCTTCAAGTTTTATTTAATCCAATTAAGTTATTTCATTTAAACTAGACAGGACTGCACAGCAAAGTAATTGCAGTAGTTAACTGAAACTATATTCACCTCTGCGGCCCACAAAACGGCAACAGAAAAGGTTGGGAGAAAACATTGTCAATAATAGTTGGATCAATTTTCTGAAGACGATATCTACTGTTTAATATTCGCTACCAGACAGATGCATAGGCAGGTATGAAGTGCTGTAAAAAAGAAAATCTACTTCACTTCCGATTGAAATGCTAATAATTAGATTTATAAACAAGAAAGCACAATTTTAGTTAGTTTTATAAAGACACAATATAGTTCCTGTTTAGTTTTCCCCCCAGTTTTATTAGGTTTAAAATGTTTGCTTTTTTTTCATTTAGTTAACTAAAATAACCTTGCTACAAAAGCACGCCATACTTTTCAGATTTTCACGTGTGAAAGAAGTGGAAGTCCGCGCGTCGTTTTCCTTCCACTTCAAATCCTTCACTGCTTCGTGTCGATCGGTTCCAGGAGAACCAGATATGATACATTTAACTTTGTTAGGTGTAGAAATATGAAAAATAAAACAAACAAAAAAAAACAAATATTTTAAATTGCCTTGATCTCATCAAGAAGTAAACCTTTTTATTTATTTTATTTTTTTTAACTGACCCCACCTGCAGAGGGAGTTGCTGATGTCGGCGCTTTGGAGCCAGAAACCACACGACTGTCATGAAGGTTGTCGGCCGAGATGGTCCAAAGTTTAACAAGATGCAGATAGAGCCGTTCTGGAGCCGAGAGCAGAACGGCTCTCGGCTCCAGGGTTCCTTCTCCTATACCGGATTCCCAGCTGTCAAAGGGAATCCGGTAAGAATCTAAAATCTCAGTAAAGCAAAACGTGATTTCACTCGAAATAATATGTATAAAAAAATGTTGAAAAAATAAAAACATCCATTTTCAAAATGTACAAAATGCTTTCAAAATATAAATATTTGTGGTTTTGTGTCTGAAATTAAATTGTAACGCGGTAAAGTACAGTTTCTGAGGTGAGCTCTGGTGAGCTCCGGTCACGTCTTCCGCTCTGTTTGATGTTCATTGTTCTGAGAGAACAGGGGCTGAAAACCAGAGGTCAGAGTTCACAGCGAGAAAGGACATTCCACTGAGATTAGAGAAACTGCAGAGTTGGCTGATTAGTTTTTTTTTTTTTTGGTTTGTTTAGTTTTTAGCTGTTAATACGGCATCGTAGGAAATATTTCTGATATGGAAAATACACACACACACACACACACATATATATATATATATATATGGGATGTTGCTTTTAAACTTTGGATTTAAATCCGAGTGAGGCTGAATTCAAACGTGGAGTTTCGTTCTCGTGTTTAGGACAAAAGCATCGAGGAGCAGCTGTCAAAGGGAATCCGGTACTTCGATCTCCGCGTCGCGCACAAACCCTACGACCCGTCCGACGACCTCTACTTCACACACGTCATATACACACACCTGACGGTTCTGGTGAGCTCCGGTCACGTCAGCCGCTCTGGTTTGTCGCGGCTTCCCGCCATAACTCGCTCCCGCTCCACAGAAAACTCTGGAATGCGTCGAGCACTGGCTGAACTCTCACCCGAAGGAGGTCGTCATCCTGGCCTGCAGCCATTTTGAGGGAATGGACGACGCTCGCCACGAACTGTTCATTTCCCACTTGAAGAAGATGTTCGGCTCAAAGCTGTGTCCCTGTGTCCCTGAACAGGAGCCGGTCCTGAGCCTGCGGAGGCTCTGGGCGTCCGGTTACCAGGTCATCCTGTCCTACGAATCCCCGCTGGTTGCCAGACACCCGCAGCTGTGGCCAGTCATACCGTACTGGTGGGCGAATAAAACAACGGCACAAGAAGTGATCCACTACCTGGACTGGAAAAAAGACATGGGACGACCAGGTGAGTCGGTCTGCTGCGACGGCGGCAGATCAGGGGCATCGGAGATGAAAAATAAAAAAAAAAAACCGGGGAGTAAATTTCCAACTTTTATTTATTTATTTTTGGACATTTTCTAGAAAAAAACTTTG